CCTGTGAGCCAGGGGAGTGCCACTCTAGCTAACTGACAAAGTCAAAGTAGGGAAGCAAATTTTGCAAAACTGGACAACAGTCTAAGTTAAAATAACCAGAGATGCTGACAGACCAGAGATTCCAGGCAGGTCTAAATTAGAAATTGGCTGAGGGGTGTGTGTGTGTGATGAGATCCCTAATGGATTCTAGTGAGAATTCTTTAAATCCATGGGCTAATAGACCAGAGATATGAAAGGGGCCTTGGGGATGAATGTGTGCTTGCCAGGTGACGGGGTGGCTAGAAACAGATGGGTGGGTGAGGTTTGGGGCTGGCAAGCCAGGGGGACAGGATGCCTACTTTCCTGCTCATTATAGTCTTTCTCCCCAACCCCTGTATTTCTGGACCCTCTGCTTGCCCTGTGAGCCTGCATTGATCTCCACCCTCCCACCCCCTACCCCATGGATCAGGGCTCTTACTGGGAAAGGACTCCCGGTGGTACTGCTCTCAGGCACAGCCACCGTGGCTACTGACTGGGTGTCTGGAGGAGGGACAGAGCCATTTTCGACTTGGTTTGGAGGTGATCTTCCCACAGAGATCACTCATGGCACAAGGCTTTCATCTCATTTGTTTCTCTGTCTTTGGCTCTACAACCTTAAAATCCTCATTTGATTGTTTACATTTATGCCACACGTGTGGTCTGACACTTGAAGGTCAGATAAAGAGGTTGTGAATATGTGGAATCAGAGAAGCCCCAGGAGGAGGCCTTGGAGAGAAGCAGTTCCAGCAGCCTTGCAGGGCTTTGTTTTTGTCTCTCTCTGGAGTAACAGTGACCCTGCAGGTGGGAAGGACAGACAGGCAAGAGGACAGTATCATATTTTTCCTCCCATGACCAAGAGGGAAACACCACCAGAGGGTTTTTTTGAAAATCTGGAAGGAGAGGAAAAGCTATAGCACTATCATGATTGGGTCTCATTTCCTCTATTGTCAACTTTGAGGAGTGGTGAGCTCTCTGTTTTGCCAAGATCATCAGCACCAGATGGACACACTGGGCAGAAGTGCCTGAGGGCTAGTTCCACAGCTTTTGTCCCTAGGGATCAGGACAGCCCAGGGGATGCGTCAGTCTCCTCTCCCACTGCCTCCAGGACCTGGGGGAGTGCAAATGAGAAAGTGCACTTGGGAGCTCTTTATGCTCTATGAGGTTCATCCGGACGATGGGGGGTGGGAGGTGGGGGGCAGGGGCGAGGATGGTCGTCTCTGGTGTGCAGTGCCCTCCCCTCCCCTCCACCCCGCCCCCACAGGTAACACCAGCCCTTCCACCTCTCCTCTGTACACATTTGCCAGGTGGTGCCTGCCACGGCCAGCATGGCCCAGCCTTCTCAGTCCCTTCCTTCTGGAGATGACGGGTACTGGGTTTATTCTCTTTACTGTGGAGTTGTTTCCATTTAGACAAATTCAAAGGCTGTGGGTTTTCGGTGCTTGCCCTGCCATCATAGTTCTCTTGTTCAGGTGGCAGTGAGAATGTGCTTAGCACACTTTTGAGTACTGGACGCCCTCAGGCCCAAGGGCTTTCCTGACCTGCACTGAGAGGGGCTCGGCATCTGTTCCAGGATCTAGGAAGCTCATTTTCTGCTGATTAAACTTTGTGCCGCTCGGGTGATAATTGTGAAAAAGCTCTGTAACTGTATTTGTAACTTTGAAAGTCTTAAAGTCACACGGCCACCTGGTAAATACATAAAGTCAGCCTCTTCGGAGTTCCAGGGCTCACTGTGCCTCCCACTAATTGTTGCCAACTCCCTCCTACCATCAAGTCATTAGTGTTGGCTGAAGTCTGGTCTCGGTTTCAGTGGTCTTTGCTGCCAATGAGCACAGAGGTGTTCAAAACTCACCCCACATCAAAGGCGCCTTTCCTAATTAACATTCTAGGTGTGGATATGCTAATTAGAACGGCAATTCGTTTTGCTAATTAACACTCTAGGTATGGATATGCTTTTGGAAAACACAACTCTGTAAGGGAGAAACAAGTGTGTTGTCTGGGATTAGCTCAGTGGCAAAGGGACAGGAGGGTGTGGGAAGGTTCTGAGTTGTGCACCCTCATGGTCCCATGTGTACAAGCGTGTGGTTTTCTGGCGCCGGCTTGGTTTCCACTAACCACAGCAGGGTGGGAGTTCTTCAGGGGTTGAGGTTCCCACTTAGGCTGATCAGCCCCTAAAGTTCGGCCTTCCTTATCATTTGGTCTCCTTTCCTAACTGACGTGCCCCAGCCTCAGAAGTCCTGAGTTAAACACAAGCTCTATACAATTACATCCTGCACCACACACATTGAAGTCCTAATGCTGCCCATTCTCTGGAGCAGGAGGCCTTCCTGTGCCCAAGACTATCACTTCTGTGTCCCCACGGGGCTTTCTTGCAATGAAGCCAGTGATGTCTATCTCGCTGGCTCCTTCATTCACACTCATGTTTAACCTAATTTGACCAAGTTCTTCTGGTCTTACTTTCTGAACCATGCATGTGATGGGTGCAGCAGGCAGGAACTGCTGAAAAGGGCCTCTTGCCTTCCTACCCCCTTTCCCTTTCTCTAGGGGTGGGGGGGAGGACTGCGGGGGCATGCAGGAAGTTCCCTGCATGGGCTTAGCAGACAGGCTTGCTTTGAATCTCATCTCTGTTATTTACCAGCTGTGTGGCTGTAGACAAATAACTCAACCTCTCTGTGCCCATTCCTTCAGTGAAATGAGGTAGCCAGGAAGATTAAATGAGATGTTTGTAGAGTGCTTACTCCAGTGTCTGGCACACTGAGAGTGCTCAGTAAATGGTACCATGGTTATCAGCTGTCCAGGTAAATCAGTTCCCCTCCAGCCTGCATCTCCTCCCCTCCCGCCGCCTCCAGTCCTTTCAATGATCTGTGCTCTCTCCCATTTTCAACTTTCTTTCCCATAGCGTAAAAACATGCTTGGCTCCCCTGTTTTAAAACATCCTCCCCTAGACCTGGGATCTCTCCTGACTCCATCCTTACCCCCTGCCCACTTCTGCTCCCTCATCTCACGACCAGCCTCCTGCACCCTGGCACCTGCCCCAGTCCAGTGAGCTGACTCTTGACAAGGTCAGCAGTGTTCTGCCGCCTTGGCTGCCACAGTGACAGGTCTTCAGCCGACGTCCTCCCCGCAGCCATGTGGGGAGGTCCCTGCCCTCCATGGCTCCCTCTCTAGCCCCAGCCGAGGACTGAGTTCATTGTTTCTTCAGACCGGAACTAGGCCCCCAGCCCAAGCAGCAAATCAGACCGGGACACAATACCAGTGAAAGTGTTTAATAGTTAAATTACTTAAATAGACTTTTCAATTTCCATGGGAAATCATAATTGTATCCATTTTTGCAAGAGCAGGAATAAAAAGAGTGCACACCCCTTAGAGGGAATAAAGAGCTAGCACTGCACGTTGTCACCAGTCACGGCTGGGAGGGGGAGGGTGGGCCCCCACAAGGTCCGTGGGGGCTCATGACAGCTGGGGGAACACGGGAGGGTCCGTGCGAGCACGCACACACACACGCACACACACGTTACTCAGGTTGGAAGCAGAACGGAAACCCAGCACCACCAGCAGGTGATGGGGAGGGGCAGGGGGCTGGAGACAGTAGTGGAGAAAGCCAGCCCCTGGCAACGGGCAAGAGGCTGATGCAGAACTCAAAGGGTGGAACAGCAAAAGCGCGACAGACTCAGGTTGGCAGTTTTAGGTCCGTAGCCTTGCTTCTCAGGGCTGCGTTCAGACTGGGGTGGGCGATGGTGTGTGAGGGAGGCTGGTGCTAGTGACCCGTCAGAGGTGGAGCAAGTGGGCATCAAAGTCACATTCCAGTAGCCGGCATACAGCTGCCACCTCACCTCCTTTGAGCTTGTGTTGGAGGTGAGAATAATTCTGCCCTGAGAAGCAATGAAAAGATCTGGGCATAGCCCCCAAGGACTCTGTTTGAAAATATTTCTAACAGTATATCATTTTCCAAATGCCTCCCTCATAGGGTATAAAAATAGAATTTTTTCCCCCTCAGTATATTGAGCTGTCCCTTCCCCCAAAAAACAAAAACCAGACAAATCAAAATTAGCTTTGTCCTGTGGACTTGAAAGCTGGGCTCTACCCTTTCCTCTGTCTGGAGGGCAAGGCCACCCTCCTTTTCCTGAACCTGAGGGCTACACATATGTCCCCAAGTCTGAGGGATCATCTCTAGAGAGAGCCACCTTGGCCAACTGAGAAAGCCAGGCAGCTTCCTTACCCCCCACGCTGGCTGAGCACCAGGTGGCCACCCCAAGTTCTCCCTGCAGGCAGCAAGTGGCTGACAGTTCAGGGAGTGGCAGGGTAGATGGGGCCACACCACCTGCTGCAGGTTGAGGTTGCTTCCCTTGGTTCCAACTCAGCCTGAGATGGGAGAGCAGCTTTTTGCTTCCTTCTTATCATCCCATTAGCATTTTACCTCGGGGAAGTGTGTGTGTTTGTGTGTTAGGGAAAGAGATGGGGTGATGTGCCCATACATCACCAAAAGGACACACTCACTGCTCTGGTTGGACCTGGGAAAACCCTAAACTGCCAAATCTGAAGTGAGGGAAACAAGCGTCCTATATGCGACCAGTATCACGGCATACACACACACACACACATACACACACACACACGCCCCACTGTGCACAGCTGTGTTCTAATATAGAGAATTTACAAAATATAGAATTTGGTATATTTGTTAGATCTCCAAGGTTTTCAATAATACAAAATAAAAAATACAAAAAGACAGGTTGGGACCCCTTCCCTCCCTCCCAGTGGCATCCTCTGTTGTTTGTGGGTCTCTTACACGCGTACAACTAGCATAGTCTAAAGAAGGGCACAGAAACATGTTTTGTTTTATTTAATAAATATTTTCCTTTCCTCAGAACCACCACTCCTTGCTTCAAGTCCTCTC